AGGAAGGAAGGAAGGAAGGAAGGAAGGAAGGAAGGAAGGAAGGAAGGAAGGAAGGAAAGGATAGAATAGGATAGCAATAGCCCTTAGACTTATATACCGCTTCATAGTGCTTCACAGCCCTCTCTAAGCAGTTTACAGAGTCAGCCTCTTGCCCCCAACAATCTGGGTCCTCATTTGACCCACCTGGGAAGGATGGAAGCCTGAGTCAACCTTGAGCCGGTCAGAATCGAACTGCTGGCAATGGGCAGAGTTTGCCTGCAATACTGCATTCTAATCACTGGCGCACCAAGAAGGAGAAGGGGGATAAGAGAGGAAGGGAGGGAGGGAGGGAGGGAGGGCAACAGACATACATCGCTTCACAGTGCTTTACAGCCCTCTCTAAGTGGTTTACAGAGTCAACCTCTTGCCCACAACAATCTGGGTCCTCATTTTACCCATCTCGGAAGGAATGAAAGGCTGAGTCAACCTTAAGCTGGTCAGGATCGAACTGCTGACAACGGGCAGAGTTTGCCTGCAATACTGCATTCTAACCACTGCACCACCACTCTCTGTAATCTCAATCTCTTCTTCACCTTGAAGATGTCCTGCTCTACCCAAAGGAAGATCTCAAAGGGTTGGTCTGGACAGTTCTCCATAGGGCACTCAAGCCAGAGATGCCTTAAGTCCACAAGAGAGAGAAGAAAATTCATTTGTTACTGTTTCAATGAATGATTGGGGGGCTGTGAACTAAAAGATGAGGAACAGTTGCGGGAACTGGGCATGTACAGTTTAACAAAGAGAAGGATTAGGGGTGACATGGCAGCAGTCTTCCAGTATTTGAGGGACTGCCCCAAAGAAGAGGGAGTCAAGCTACTCTCCAAAGCACCTGAAGGCAGAACAAGAAGCAATGGGTAGAAACTAATGAAGGAGAGATCCAACCTAGAACTAAGGATACATTTCCTGAACAATTAGTGGAATGACTTGCCTCCAGAAGTTGTAAGTGCTCCATCACTGGAGGTTTTTAAGAAGAGACTGGACAGCCACTTGTCTGAAATGGTATAAGGCCTCCTGCTTGAGCAGGGGGCTGGACTCGAAGACCTCCAAGGTCCCTTCCAGCTCTATTCTGATTGATTGATTGAAATGGTCCAGGGTCTCCTGCTTGAGCAGGGGGCTGGACTCGAAGACCTCCAAGGTCCCTTCCAGCTCTATTCTGATTGATTGATTGAAATGGTCCAGGGTCTCCTGCTTGAGCAGGGGGCTGGACTCGAAGACCTCCAAGCTCCCTTCCAACTCTGTTACTTTTGTTCTCCTCTGCTCCCCCACCTTTCTTGCAGAACGGTGCCTTCATGGTACGGCAGAGTTCCCACCACTCTGCCAGCCAGCCCTTCACCTTGGTGGTTTTCTACAAGAACCGTGTCTACAATGTCCCTATCCACTACCAGGAAAGCAGCTGCCAGTTTGCGCTTGGCAAGGATCCCAAGAGCCATGAGGTGAGTTGAAGGGAAAGTTGGATCTCCAGGAGATGCCACTATACAAATAGTTCACAACTTACAATCTATTCATTTAGTGACCAAAAGTTACAATGGTACTGAAAAAAATGACAGGAGCATTTTTCACACTATTGCTATTAGCCTCTGCTTAGAAGCCACCTGGCATAGACAACCATGGGAGAGGGCCAGTGGGAGTCAAACAGCCATGACTGACATCATGTGTGTAAGTTGCCCCCAACTTTGCTTGGTGACATCACAATGCTTGTGATATCATCTCAGCATGGCAGGCAACCTGATAAAATCATGTCGATTGTGGATCATTCGGGTAATGAAGGAAATCGGTGGGTTTAACATTTTTAATTGATGGGTTCCATACAACATGCTAAACCATAAATCATTTTGAATGGCTCAGCCAACCCTCCATCCCCCCATCCCAAAGTATGTGTAGTAATTTGGGCTACAAACTTTCCCTGGAGAGGCCCATAGGAACTCAGGAGGGGAGGTGGTCTTGGAGATGGGACTCAGTCTAACCAACCCAGTAGGATCCTTGGGGTGAGACTAAGCTGGAGGAAAAGGTACAGTGTACATCAGGAGTGTCCAACCGTTTAACTTTCAGAGTTGTGGACTTCAACTCCCAGAATTCCCCAGCCAGCCATGCTTCATGAATTCTGGGAGTTGAAGTCCACAACTCTGAAAGTTAAAAGGTTGCACAACACTGGGGTTAATCTTGAAGGAAAAGCAACATCTAGCAACCACAAACACAACATGGAATACTCCTCTTACTGATCTACAGATGGGGTTGGATGAGGAGACATCCAAACACAACAGGGCAGATATCCTGCAATTGGAGCACAATGGTTGGAAACTAATCAAAGAGAGAAGCAGCCTGGAATTAGGGAGAAACTTCCTAACAGTGAGGACAATTAACTAGTGGAACAGTTGCCTCCAGAAGTTGTGGGCGCTCCAACACCGAAGGTTTTTAAGAAGAGTCTAGACAGTCACTTATATGAAATAATATAGGTTCTCCTGCTTGAGCTTGATTATTATTTGTATATTTTCCATTATTCTGTTCTGTTCTATCTATGTAAACTAACGTTCATTGAAGGGATAATTATGAAATGCCTGGGCCCAAAGTTAGCCCCCCCCCCCCGATTTACGGAAACCCAGATTCAAAAGTACGGAAAGGAGAGAATTGAGCACACCAGATGTTGATCTTTGTCTTTCCCTCCCCAGCTGTTTGACAGTGTCTCCAGCATCATCCAGAAGTACTCAGAGCGCCCCCTGGTGCTGATCGACGGCAGTACTTCTGCCAAGGAGCAAACTCTCCTCTTGTTCACTGTGACGCCCTGAAAATTGGTGCCAGCCATGCTGAGTGGATCCCCAGTTTCAGCTAGGCGCCCTGGGAGTAGTTTCGAGGTGCAAGGACAAAAGGTTCAGAATTCAGCAAGGCATCCTATATTGTTTTATTCATGGCATGCTTTTCAACCACTTTTCCAGAGGCAGAAGAAAGGTGCTGTGCAAAATTCTGGACGTGATTTAATGATGATAATAATCATAATAAAGAGTTTTAAGAGTGGAATTAGACTGGCCTTTAAAACGGATTCTTGCATGAAGCATGCCTGTTGCACCTTGTACAGTCGTAACAATAATAATTCTCTGTTGCTTTTTATAACCTTGCAATCAGAAGTGGTAGTCAGCCGGTTCTGACTGGTTCTGGCGAACCGGTAGCGGAAATTCTGAATAGTTCAGAGAACCTGCAAATACCACCTCTGGCTGGCCCTGCCCCCGATCTATTCGCTACCTCCCGAGTCCCAGCCAGTATCCTTCCCCCAGGAGTGGGAGGGAATGGGGATTTTGCAATATCCTTCCCCTGGAGTGGGGAAGGAATAGAGATTTTGCAGTATCCTTCCCCTGGAGTGGAGTGGGAATGGGGATTTTGCAGTATCCTTCAACTGGAGTGGGGTGGGAATGGAGATTTTGCAGTATCCTTCCCTAGGAGTGGGGAGAGAATGGGGATTTTGCAGTATCCTTCCCCNACCTGTAGTGATTTGCTTAACAACTATGGCTAAAGGTTTGTAAAACAGGGCAAACTCACTCAACAATGGCCTTGCTTAATCATGGAAATTTTAGACTCAATGGTGTTTGAGGATCAGCTGTACTTCATACCTTCTCCAAGGTCACCTCTTCCTCCTCCTCCTTCTCTTCTTTAATGACCCCATAATCCCTTGTGCGGTAGAGTCTGAGCAACTGAATGGAGCTGAGTGTTTACTGGCCAGATGCCTTTCCTGTCGCCAATGCAGTTTTTTTCCCAGCAGATATATTCTCATTTTGTCCAGAGAGAGAAATATCTGCTTCTACCTAGGTTCGAACTCACAGCCTCCTGATTGTGAGGCGAGGGCGCAACCTCTAGGCCACTGCACCATTCTCTCCAAGGTCACCTCTATGCTCTTCTAAATGACATTTCCCTGCCTTCTCTACAGCATCCTTCTCTGCAGCTGAGCTGGGATTAGAATTGTAGTCCCAGCACATCTGACCGATCTCATGTGAGAAAGGACTGGCTCTGGAAGTGCTTGGGAGTTGTTCTCTACACTCCAGGTCTTTAGAAAGGGCCAGCCGTGGGATTCAATTTTTTTTACTACCGTTTCTGTGGGCGTGGCTTGGCAGTGTGTGTGTGTGTGTGATGTGACTGAGTGGGCATGGCCAATTTGACGTGAGTGACATTGAGCGGGGGGGAGGGAGCGGGGGCAGGGACAGACAGAAATGGTATTTACCTGTTTGGCGAACCACTCAAAATTTCCACTACCAGTTCACCCGAACCAGTCCAAACAGGCTGAATACCACCTCTGAAAGGGACCTACCTTATCTGGAGCTGTTAGTGTTGCAACCTTGAATTCTGGCCTGTGATATTTGCCCTTGTGCCTCTGTTTTGGTTTTCTCGCGGCTTCTCTGCACCCATGTGGAAACAATGGCATGGGAAGGCATCTTCAGGACCTCACGCGATTTTCTTGGTATGTTTCTTTAGGTTCAGCCAAGCTCTGCTGAAGGGGAGGAGGAAGCTCAGGATACCTATGAACTTCCCCCAAGAGAAGAACCGACTAAGAAAGTGTCTGTAGTCCCACCGCAAGAGTCTGACCAGGGGATATACCTGGGTGAGGTGCAAAGAGGGGAGAAGCATGCAAGGATTATCATAATAATGGGGGGGGGGGTATTCCTTTAACCTTAGTTGCTGGATTTTGGCAGACCAAATTGTGTTGCTATGGCAAGAGATATTTTGGGACATGGTAGATTTTGGAAACCAATCAGGCACGCTTTCTTGCTTTCTTTCCTTTTTTCTTTCTTTCTTTTTCTTTATAGCCTCTTTCTTTCTCTTTTTCGTTATTCCCTCCCTTTTTCTTTTTCTTTCTTTCTTCTCCCCACCCCTCCCTCACACACATACGAGGAGAGAGAGAAGGAGGAGAGAGAGAAAAAGAGAGAGACAGACTTGGTTCATTGATCTAATCCCTGAGACATTTGGCTGTTTTTAAATTGTTTCTGTATTTTGTTTCTCTGTTTTTATTGTTTTTGTCTGTATTATTCCCTTCCCCTTCGGTTTGTTAGCCGCCCTGAGTCCCTCCGGGAATAGGGTGGCATACAAGTGTAATAAATCTCTAAACCTCTAATTGAAATAAAGATACATGCCACAAATTCTTAATATTTTGCAGACCCCACTTATGTTTTAATTGTTGCCCTTGGCTGATCTCAAAAAGCTTAGCAAGATTCAGCTGGTTAGGGCTCGGATGAGAGAACTCTAGGAAATGACAGAGTTGGATCAGGAGAAGGCAATGGCAATCTTTTCTGTTGCAAAAAGAAAAAAAAAAACCAGCCAACCATATGCAGATATCCATGAGGTCATCAGGAGTTCAGTTTGATTTGATGGTTTGGGATTCCTGTCTGCTTGATTCTTTCTCAATTCTAGAGGTTACCATTGTGATCCTTATTTAGGTACCAAAAACCTTGACACTTGACATTAACTCAGTGAGCTAAGATTATTTATAATAACCTAAATAAGCTAAATAATTATTATAATAATTAGCAAGGAAATCTGTCTATTCTTCAGTTGTCCAACCGGTTTGCAACTGCTACTTATGGATCAGCAATTCCTTCAAATCCCCAGCTCTCTTTACATTACTCTAAAAATTAAACTGCATGTGGATGAAATAACTCTTCAAAACTGAGCAAGAGTCATCCATCTCAGCATTCATTCATTCATTTTCTGGGGTCAAGGGTTACAGGTGACAGGGCAAAAAACTCAGTCACATGCCTGCAAGAGATGGATTATAAATGTCTGTTTTTTGCACATTTGGGGGAAAGTTCTTTTCTTTATTAAAAAAAATGATCAATATGTTAAATAAAATAACTCTCTTCCTGGTGTTCATGAAACCTGATGGAAAATGGTATTTAACAGGGTAATATGGGAACTGAGGTCTGTCAAAAAGAGAGGATTGGGAAACAACTTGGCCTGATGTTGGCTGCAGCGGTTGGGTGGCCCAGAGCCGAAGTCAAAGATGCCTTCAGAAAAAGGGCAATATCTCTAATTTAAGACATATACATAATTATGTAGCAAGCTTGGACTCAATAATCCATGGAGGATCTCTACATACCAGAGAAAGAGGTTTCATGGATGGAGAAAGTGGGATAGGAGGAGAAGAAGGACAGCAGCAGAAAATGAGAAATGGAGGAAGAGCAAATTTCCAATAACATCTCAGATCATTCTTTGTCCATAGATTGTCCAAATGTGAGACGTTTCTCTATGCCGCCCGGCAGTTTGCATGCCAAGCCCTGCATGGTAAGAGACCTGTTGGAGTTTGGGAAAATGATCAGAATTGAGCTGGAAGGGACCTTGGAGGTCTTCTAGTCCAGCCCCCCTGCAGGAGACCCTATACTATTTCAGACAAGAAAAAATGTCTGACAGTGGGAATTATCCACCAATGGAACAGAAGTTGCCTTCAGAAGTTGTGGGAGTTTCATCACCGGAGGCTTTCAAGAAGAGACTGGACGGTCATTTGTCAGGAATGGTGTAGGGTCTTCTGCTTGGGGCAGGGGGGGTGGGCTAGATGACCTACAAGGTCCCTTCCGACCCTGTGAAACTGTTAAGGAAATGTCTCCTGAATTCTCGGTTGTGTCTCACTTTAATGAGCTTCCACCCATTGCTTTTTGTCCTTCCCTCTGGTGCTTTGGAACATAAGTCCGTCCTCTTTTCTATGGCAGCTTCTTAAGGACTGGAAGATAGTTGTCATGCAACCCCCAAACCCTTCTCTTGAATAAGCTAATTTGCTCAACCGTTCATCAATTTATCTATCTTCCAAAGCACCCAAAAGCCAGAAAAGGAATAGTGGATGGAAACTGACCAAGGGGAGATTCAACCTGGAAATAAGGAGGAATTTCTTGACAGACAGTGAGAACAATCAACCAATGGAACAGAAGTTGCCTTCAGAAGTTGTGGGAGCTTCATCACTGGAAGCTTTCAAGAAGAGACTGGACGGTCATTTGTCAGGAATGGTGTAGAGTCTCCTGCTTGGGC